TACCGAGGGGCTAGGAGCGTTGTCGCGTTGTTTGTGCTGTGTCGTTTCGTTTATGTGTTGTTTTGTGTGTATGTGTGTTTGTAAAGTGGAGTGCGCGTGGTGTGTGGGATGCGTCCTAGTCGACCGGCGATGAACCGCGCTTGGGACCTCAGCCCCCCAAGATGTGGGTTCGCGTGTGGGTCCGATAGAGGCGTATTACCGCGCGTGCCCCCTATGCTACAGCGAACGAGAAAACGCCCTCGGCTGGTCCACCTCTGCGATTGCAACTGATTAACTTTCGTACTGTGGACTGGTAGGTCGACGGGGATACGCCCACCGAAGGGAGGTGACAACTCCCGTAAGGTGTAGGTAAGTTGTGCCTCGCGTAGGCCCTATCCTGTCGTAGGGGCTCGCGAGAGGTATGGCTGGCGCACTCGGCCGGAGCGACTTATGGAAGTTCCATGTATATTCGCGACGAGGATTTAGACCAACTCCTGCGTGACGCGGCCGGGAGGGTCCCGCGCTGCCCCGTGCGGTGCTGGACTGATGCGCTCGACACCGGATAAAGAGTAGCGACATACGCAACTTCTCCCTGAAGTACTCCTCCGTCGCATATGATTCATCGCATTGCGCAAGATCCTTCCACACGCCCCCTGTCCTCCTTTTCATCCACCAGCCTGACGTCGCTCGTCGAAGAACACTGCAACCCATGGCGCAACAAACCTGAACTGCAGCCTCGGTGATGGCCACGGTATCCAACCCTAAGACTTTGACCGGGACTTGATGAAGAGTCTTTCTCCTCCGAGTGTGGATCTGCGCTCTCATTCTGCCCAATGCCCTCTCCTACTGACAACGAAAGAGCACAAACATCACGGGCGCCACCACTGCCGTCTTCTTGATCGTCGTCAACTTCGCACGTCCGTTATTGCTGCCGCCTCCATCGGCACCTGTGTTGCAATGCTCATGAACCACAAAAATACAACAGCTTACCAACTCGCCTTGACAACGGTAATCTCAACGCCAAGTCCCCAACGGCGTTCCCCGCGTGTGCTCGACTCAACACATCGGCGCGGCGGCATGCAGAGGCGATGCCGATAGACCTTCGCGGGGCGCTCACAAATTCGTGACGCCGCACGAGGACTCCACTGCGCCACTGCAAGTGTCCGTTTCACCGTCGCAGATATGGACACCACCTGCCCTGTGTTGCCGTCGTGATGTCCAACACCCAATTTGAAATTTGCTTTTCGAACGGGGAGGTCCATTGCTTTTTAAGGTTTTTTTTTTTTTTACGGTCGCCAGCGCCTGTCAAAATTTCCCTCCTTCGGCAGCTGGACCACACCGTAGCAAGACGGACATCACCCAATGGACCGAGGCATTGGCCCCCCCGCGGCTGACTATACTATTACGAAAATGGCCGCTGGCGGCCGAAAGGAATCATCCTTGGGAGACGACCCCAAGGATAGGTGGAACAATGGGGGGAATTTCCTTGAAACCCCCCAAGGAAACTTCCTTCGGGCCCGAGGACGCCCCAAGAAGTGTCTAGCGAGCCCCAACCGGTCTGCAGGGCATCGGATATGGGCAGTTCTGCAGTGGACCCCTTCTCAAAGGACCACCATTGCATTTGAAAAAAGAAAATCAGATGCATAAGGTGCAATGCCACCCCCCGTGCTGCCTGGGCACCCCAATCACGGTTCCCTATGAGGGCCCAGTTCATCCACAAAAAGGCGCAAATATAACCCCCAAATCGGGTGCACACGAGGGACCGTACAGTGATATCAGCAAGTGAAAGAAGGCCTAAACCCCAGCTGGAGCAAAAGGACAATTTGTAAGTCCGCCTTTTGGAATAGGGTCTCTGAAGGCCTGTCTCAAAGTTGCGGTTGGACATTGTGGCAGGCGAGCGGGTAAAGCAGTGGCATCTCACAAATTTCACTATTCAACTATTCATCGTATCGTAGAAAGTATCGGTTGGGACAATCGAGCGGTTTTTGGTCCCGCTCAAATACCCACCCAAGGCGTCTTTCAGCACTCGCGTCATCGCACTTGCAACAACCCCGCCTAAGGCGCGAGCCCATGTGCGAGCAGAGGCTGCACATAGCGTTTTGGCTATGAAGCCCGGTTCCGGCATGAACCCAAAGGCCGACCTGAGAAAAGAAAAAAAAAGAAAAGAAAAGAAAAGAAAAGGAAAAAAAAAAAGAAAAAAAAGAAGGGCCGTCAATAAGTCATCCCGTCATGAGCGAACGGCCACGGAAGCGACCACAGAGGTATAGCGCAAGGCTGCAGTGTCTTTAGATCTTATAGCCGCTAGCGCGGCGAAGCTATATCCACATAGCCACTACTACCCGTAGTCATTCTGCCGCTTGAGTATAGCTCTTACCTATTTCTGGACGTCGGCCGTACTTCCGCTATTCCTCTATTCCGCTATTCCTCTATTTCGCTATTCCGTTATTCCGCTATTCGGCTATTCCGCTATTCGGCTATTCGGCTATTCTTCAACGGACAGCCCGCCACTCCGGCAGTCCCACACACGGTTCACGGTAGTAGTTGCGTGTCCGATCACAACCGTCGGGTTCCGCGGGAACGGTCCCACGGAGCCTTAGGACCGCTTTGGCGGTGTCCCTAAGTTCAGTTCGCCTTTTCTCAACGGACAGCCGCTCATCCTCGGACCGCGCCATTTGTTCCTCTTCTTGCAATTGCAATTGTCCCCTCGTCCGCGTCCTCTGCGGGAATAGACGAAGGAGGGAGGAGGCGGGAAGCAAACGGGCCAAGTGGGCGATAGAGAGGCGGAAAAGGGAGAGGGCGGGGGCGGGGCGGGGCGGGCGCGTCCTATGCATCAAAAGCTTTTGGTTTTGTTTTGAACGCGGGGAATGTATTTTTTTTTTTGTATTCGAACATATGTATGTGAGAGCGGAATTCAAAAATTAAAAAAAAAAGGGCGAGGAGGAGCCGATGAAGCAGTTGGTCTAGGGGAGGACTGGCGGGCAACAGAACATCTACGCTGGGTGTTCATCACTATTTTTGTCCGAGCTTCCGCTGGGCACTCGAATGCTTCACCCGCCTCGTCGTTTTTTCATTTTGTTTTTCTTTTTTGAATACTGGCGCCTTTCCAACGGATTGATCATCTCACTCACCGCGCGGTCGACTCGCGCCTGCCCGTACCCGCGCGCGTTGGGAAGCCGGTCGCGCGTATCCGCGCACGGGTTTGTCCCTCGCCCGTTGCGCTTCTTTGCGCAGTGTTGCGCATCTTTCCACCGTGCGTGCGCTCGCCGCTCCCCTCCCCCCCCCCCCCCCCCCCCCCCCCCCCCCCCCCCCCCCCCCCCCCCCCCCCCCCCCTCTGTCTCGCGGACAAGGGGGGGCGTGCGCGCCC